CTCTCCCCTTCCCCTCTCTCCCTCTCCATCTCCCTCCTCCCTCCCTCTCTGTCTTGGTGACTCTCTCTCTCTCCCTCTCATTCTCTCTGTCTCCCTCCCTCTCCTTCCCCCTCTCCCTCTCCATCTTCCTCCTTCCTCCCTTCATCTCTGTGTGTGTCTCCCCCCACCACCATATGATACTTCAACTCTCCTTCACCTTCTGCCATAATTGTGAGCTTCCTGAGGCCTCACCAGAATGGTGCCATGCAGAACTGGAAGCCAAATAAACCTCTTTTCTTTCTAAATCACCCAGCCTCGGGTCTTTATAGCATCAGAAAATGGACTAATTCGCTGGTCTTTGTACTTGCTGTGTCCTCTGATAGAAGTTGGCTTCTTGTCATCATTTTTATCTTGGCTCAAAGTCTCTCTTGAGGGTGGTCTTCCACACCACCCTATCTAAGTCTACACTCATTGTTCCCAGGCATCAGATTCTCATTCTCTTGCTTGTTTTCTTCAGCACAAATCATGGAGAAATGCTTGCTTAATGATCATTAAGCGTGACCCCTATCAGAAGCAAGCTCCAGACAGCAGGGACCACATCTGCCCCATTTGCCACTCTATTTCCTGGGGCCTAGAACCATGCTTGAGAGGATAGAGTAGCTGCTCAAAGAGTACTTGGCAAAGACTATGCAATAAAAGGAATAAGTAAAACTATAAAGCAGTGGCAATCACTAGTTATCAATATGAACACTCGATACAGGGGAGGAAATAAGGAAGGAAGGAAGGAAGCCTTATAGCGGTACTTTGGGGATTATTCTCAAAGCTAGGTATTGTTAAGGTTCATAGATAACTGGGAACATCACTATTGTGTTTGGTTCTCTGCTCACAGTGAGGAAATTAGGGATATAACATAAATATCCTTGACTTAGAATAATTCTAAGGCTAGTTCACTGCATGATTACTGTACAGTAACCCAAACAGATGAGTCAGAGAAGAGGCCCGCTATAGACTGAAGGTTATATGGGATTATGTAAAAGACATGACTCAAAATGGAACTTGGGCGAATGTGGAAACAGCATTGTCTGAATGCAGCCCAGGGAGGTTATGGGAATGAAAGATACATGGGAAAATTTAACAGCACTGCAGGAGACCTAAGGACAGAACCTTGGGGTAGAGCTTCTAGGAACATCTTTGTTTAAGCAAAAGAAGAGAAAGATGGAGGTCACAGAAGAAGTAGAGTCTTTGAAAACACTTTGGACTGACGCTTCTGATCAATAAAAGAAAAGACGTTGGCTCCACCTGGAGTTTAGTGGTTTAAACTCCTCAGAACAATCCTCCTGCAGATAACTTTATAAACTAAAAAAATACCTGGTGATTTGTAGAGTGAACACAAGCAAGATGACTAAATCTTTGGAGAAGAAAACAAGTGAGTCCCTGTCCCTCCCCACTCCTCATGTGGGTTGCCCTAAGGGTAAACCACAATTGCAAAGCTGCACACCCCAGAGGTGAATAAAGTTTTTATCAAAATGCACCATCTGATAAGACTAGA